GGGTTGTAATGTTTAAGATTATTACAGTCAATTAGTTAATTGAACAGAAATAAATTGATACAGTTACGTAATTACAAGCAGTAGTAGAATGCAATCCTTTACCAGGCGTTTGGTTGGAAGGAAGGAAGGAATTAGGTAGGGAAATAAATTGTAATTCGGTGGTAAAAGAATGTGAGAATAAAGTAGGAATTCAAATTACAGTGTTTGGTATGCCAGGAATAGAGATGAGAGATGAGAATGAGATGGTGGATGACAACTACTAAGACAAGGATATTATTAGAGAGGTAAAATTGTCTTCACACTATCTTTTTTTTCTCCCCTTCAGCGTCGAATAGCAATTCTTGAGGGGGAGGGGGTCTGAATTCTAATTCAGCAAACGAATTGCAATTTCCTCTAACCAAACAACGTAATTGAGACATTCATTGAATTTCAATTCAACTATAACTAAATTACAATGAACCAAACATAGCGTTAATGTTACGGTTGTAATAATCTTTTTAATTAAAACTAAAAGTAAATTAAAATTTCTTTAAACATGTGAACTTTAATTAAAATTATATGTGTGCTAACTAGCTAGTAAAAGACCATAATTAATCAAAACAAATTTGAATCTTGATGATTGGTTCCAATTTGCCTATTACCAATTTAGCTCAAGTAACGGTCACCCTTAAATTTAGATTCTCATTACTAACAATTTCCTTGCCATCACTTTATAAAATACACTATAATAATTTTTTTTGTTTAGAAATGGATATGATGATATGTGATGGAGATATGGGTTATGGGCTAAGGTTCATTGAACTTAAGTTATTGGGTCAAGATCTGATGGTACATGTCGAGAAGAGATAGGGGATCAAGAAGTGGAAGGTAGGCTAGCCTGGAGGAGTACCGTCGCCGGCCTAGGGCAATCAGTGGCTGGGGCGGGTTACCAGCCAGCGGTGGCGTGGCATGGTGCGACGATCACGCCCCTCATAGGTGCAGGGCGTCGCGATGAGACGGCCGCTGGGGGCGCTGGCCCCAACCGGCCACAGCGCGTCCCTGCGCCCCCTCTCCGGGTGGTGCGGCGTGGGGCGTGTGGGGGGTGATGTTGTGTGTTGAGGTAGGGATGGTGTGGGGTGTTGTGGAGTCTGAGACATGGGACACGTGGTGCACTAATGTGAAAGACGTTATCATTAGGTGCACCAATGTTAAAAAGGTAAATTACTTGCAATGTTTAGTGAAAATGGTTGCACTTTTTTACTGGCACACTTGCACCAGTTATTTGCACTTTTAACCCACGTTACTTGCACCAAAGTTTGAGTTGTTTACGAAAACTCCACCATGTTATTTTTATAAAATTACATCTGGTTCGTTAAATCTCGACACGTAAACGACTGTGATTAGTTCTTAGTTCTTTCCTGGACAGTAGTTCTTACTTGAGTGCGTCCATATATATATATATATATATATATATATATATATATATATATATATATATATATATATATATATACACTAGTAATTCACCCGCGCGATGCACGGAAAAAAATTATGTTATTATAAATATAAATAAAAAATAGAAAAACGAAAATATTTTAAATTATTTAATATAATAATATTTTTGAGCTTCCATTGGTAAGTATTTATTATTTTTATAGAATACAAAATTACAATTAAAATAAATTATAATTTTGTATGATTAATATAATCTCTAATTATGTGTCAAATAAACTTATAGATAAAATTTATTTAATTACATTGATTTATTCTTAATTGTATTTCATCTATATTATAATTTTCACAATACGAATAATAACTAAGATAATTACATTTGGAAAGAAAATTTCAAATTTTGTATGTGTAAATTTAAACTCTAATTGAACACATTTTTTATATGATTATATAATATATAGTTATTTTATTTTTCAAAAGTATATTTTTTATATGATTATATAATATATAACTATTTTATTTTTTAAATGTTGTGTTTTTTTTTTTTTTTTTTTTTTATAATAAAAGATGTATGTTGTGGCATTAATGGTAGCATTAATTATTTCCCAAACCATATAGCTTTATTATATAAAGGATATATATATATATATATATATATATATATATATATATATATATATATATATATAACACGCATAGTTATACCTTCTAGAGCACAATGTTGTATCTTCCAGAGTACAGTGATATGTCTTCCAGTGCACATTGCTTTTGGTAAATAAATTAGCTTTTTTTATCTTCCGTGCATTTTTTTTTTTTTTGTATTTTTTTCCTTCTTGCAGAGCACAATATTATGTCTTCCAGAACACAATGTTTTGCCTTTGAAGTGCATATTGTTGAGCCTCCAGAGCACATTATCGTGCCTTCCAAATTACTAATTTTAGTTGAATATTGTGACCATTTATAATTTGTGTTGAAGATCATGTATTAAATTTAGTATTTTCAATAATTGTTTCATATTTTTCTGCTTACAGTGCATATTTTTTCATCCTGTGCATATTGTTATACCTTCCGGAGCACATTGTTGCGCCTTCCGGGGCACATTGTTATAGATTGTAGATGACATTTTTTTAAGGAAGAATTTATCTAAGGCTGATATTCAACCGCATCTTTTATATATATATATATATATATATATATATATATATATATATATATATATATATATATATATAAGTTGTACTAAAAAAAACAAAATTTGGTGCCATTAGTATAATAGGGTGTGAAGACATGTGGAGTTTGTGGTTAGTTGTCCAGCGAAGAGCTCCATCCATCTATGTGAATATAGTATATATATATCCATATGGAAAAGAAGAAAACACAAGTTTGTGGGCACCCACTTTGCTCACAATTCACCAAACGTATCCAATCAAATCTTATCAACCTTTGTTTAGTTACTACTAAACATGTTTCATCTGTTGTCCGCTATCCAGTCTATATAGCTCAGAATCACTGTTTTTTGGTTACTTGTATGCTCTAATTAACTACTCCCATCCGTACTATTTCACATTAATCATTGGACAAAAAAGCAGCCTTCTTCATCTTATGATGGGCAGTTGCATGGGACAAATTGGAGGATTTCTTGTTCAAATACATCAACATTATATTTTACAATCCTATTTTACTTATTATATCAATAATATATAGTTTAATATTTTTACTATACAAATTTAAGTAACAATAAAAATTCATAATAATTAATAGAGTTAATTACCAAAATAGTCCCTTGATTATAGCAAAATTACTGATTTGGTCATTGACTTAATATTATGAAAATTTGAATGAAAAATAACTTCAGTCAAGCCTCGTTAACAGAACCAGACACATAAAATGGAACGAGGGAGTAAATAGAAAAGTGAGGTGAAGATAACCATCTGTTGTAATCTGCCCAAATTAAAGCTAAGAACAAACAGGAGGTTGATGAGTGAGTCCTAGTCCCTGCTAAATGCTAAACCTTTTCTGTATCTCTATATACCTGGTTGTTTCATGAAATACATACAGGATTGGATTTTCACCAATGGCCCGCAATAGCAGAATTGTTGTTATCCAACAAATAATGCCAACCATTTCACCGCCGTCACAGCACAATTGCCAACGATGTAGAGACTTTCAGAGAATGTGTAAGAAAAATAGGCAGCCCAATTAGAGTTGGCGAAAGTTGCTTGCAGTAGTTAAGTGTTTGAAGTTTGAACTTTGAATTGCCCTTTACCAATGTAATTATTATATCGTGGATCACTAATATAAGATTCATTTTTAATATATAAGATTCATTTCTTAATGTTTCATTATTAATACGGATAGAGTAAATGGTTCTAGGATTACGATTACGCTATGAATATGTATGTTGTGAAGAAGTAAAAGAGGGTGCTCAGTTAGTCAGTCAGTCAGTTTACCATGTGACGACTGAGCAGTCTGAAGCTATGTTGTATTACGAATGACTACAAGTGAAGTAGATTGCAATATAGAGTAAATCACAAGTAGTGTGATGCTATAGAGTGATGAATGTTACAAGTAATGTGTTTATGTTACAATGAGTTGAATATGACAAGGAGAAGGACCCTCCTATTTATACTAATCGGGCCGGCTAAGCATTTAATGCTCAATTGCAAGTGGCTTGACGTGACGCATTCTTATTGGCTCTGACTATCCAAAGTGACAGAGCCATCATTCCTACAAGAGTACAAGTTGTCGTGCAAGTGTAAGTAAGCTTCCTTTACTTCTAATGTAAGCTAAACTTTCCAACTTGCGGAGTGCGTCGCACCATAGGCCGATCAAAAGACCTACGATAGATCGATAGTTCAGTGCTCCATTGGGGCAATTCTAAGGGTGATCCGAGAACATCTTCACCTATCACAAAATCTATTAATACGTGCAATACAATTGGTCACAAGTGATTTAGTTCCGTCGAACCAGTGGTTACAACAAACCGACCGAGTGATTCTTGACCGATCAGCCGGGTGACCCCGCAGGTAGTCCTTATGCGTATTTACCCATCAAATACATTGAATGTTCATTTTTTTGGAAGGTTCATTATTTGGCATATAATCTAAAAACGAATAATTAATCTTCATTATATTAAAAATGAACATTTAGCAATAGTCCACATTGAAATGTGGACCATAGTCCATAGAGTATAATTTGTCTTGCCAATGTACCTTAAGACCCTGAGGCAACAAATTATAAAATTAACCAAGATCTACTTTGCATTGTGAACCCTGGTCAAAAAATGACCTTAAGATTTAGTACTTACAATTAACCATTTTTATACTTGTAAACAAATTGAAGGCACATCAAATAGTAATTACAGACACCTAAACTCTTAACTACAGGTACAAAATATGTTAACTACAGACACATAACATGTTAACCAGCATCTTATGTGTCTGCAGTTAACATGCGTAAATGTTATTTGTCTGCAATTACCATGTTATGTGTCTTCAATTTATTTACCACTACATAAATTGTTAACTACAGATACTGCAGACACAATTTTTAGACCAAGGCTCACAATGCAATATGAACCCAGTCTATGGTATAACAATGGCCTTTTAAGGCCATTTACAGAAAGAGTTACACAAGAAGTACCAAGCTGAAGCTGCAACATATATTTAGGACTAGGAAGCTGGTAACTTGAAACTTCTACTAAAAAGTAAAAACCTCTCATTACTGGCTTCATTCAATAGTCATTTTATTTTTAACCCATTCTAAGACCAAAACATGCTGCCTGCTAAAGTCTCAACACCCCTTTGCATCCACGCGTTAAACACATTCGATATGATGCTATAAAAAAGAAGTGTTCCATCACCTTGGCCAAGGTTTACCAAATCCGTGAAGTTATTCTCTCCCCAGAATAGCATATTAGAACATATATATATGCTTTACGCCCCCTGTGAACAACTCTCACCAAGCAACTTTTACGAGTCAGATAGAACTCAATGCTACAGGCTGCAAATTCAAGATTTCAATTTGTAAATATGGAACATACAGAACAATATCAAGTGATGAGCATCAACTAAAACCTTGGAAACAACCAATGTACAACTAATTCTTGGGATTTCTCTTAAAAACTCCATTACTAGTTGAGAGTTGAAAACAAAATTTTTGAGATTAGCATGTTCTAACCAAAAACACAGCTCAGGATGTGGCCACTTTTTCATTCGAGAGGGCACTGCATATTGCTCTAATAGTTTCGGGAGTAGTTCTGCAGCACCCTCCAACAAGTGATGCTCCAACCTCACACCATTTGTTCACATAGGAAACAAAACCTTCATTGGACACCCCTGTATTTTGCTGCAATATAAAACAGTGGTTTGACAAGGTTTCTTTCAAGTAAATAAAACAAAAAGAAACAAGCTTGGTTTGCATGAGTGGCCGTGCACTCTCATCCCTTAAAAGAGGTCAGGAGTTCAAACCCCCTCTCATATGGAAAAACCAATATGGCCAGCACTTTGCCCCTTAGTTGGGCTAGCCCAGTGCGAACGTGGATTAGTCTGAGTATGGTACAGGCTTAAATGTGTCTCCTATAATTAGGGCCTACTTAGGACACCTCGTGGTCTAACCCAAAAAAAGAAAACAAAAGAAACAACGAAAATTCATTGTTTGCAAATTGAAACAGGGGTTATTATTTATATGCAGATTATTGTATCTATAAAAACACAAACAATTTGAGGTGTTGCTCCTCCCCCACGAAAAACAATCATGCATTTGACAATACTCAAGAATACGAGGAATCCATTTTCCGTTGAATAACAAATGCAGAATGAAATGAGCCACACAAAATTTTCTTAACGCAAATGAATGCTCAAGCAATTTCAAGACTGTATATGGAGTAATCTTTAAGCTAGAGGAAACAAGAAGAATGAGAGCTTACTACCCACTCCTTTTTATAAGCATCGTAAGTCTCGCCACTGTTTGGATATATAAGAATTGGTTTGGTTGTAACCTAAGAAATACAAGGCAAGAGACAAAAACTTAATTCCAACATAAGCTTATAATGATAGCCATCACTTGAAGCATAAAACACAAATAATACCATAATCCAACTAGGCATAATAATGCTGGTGGCATGAGCTGCTGAAATTCTAAACTGTTTGCATACTTGGTAGTTGGTAAAGAAAAAGGCAAGAAAGAAGGAATTTTGGAGCACCTTTTTTATGGACAAGATTAGATCTGATATGAATCTAGGAGGGGTGCAATTTATTCCCACAGCAACAACCTTCTTGCATGATTCAGCAATCGCGGCACATTCTGATAAAGAATCACCACTGACTACATTGACACCATCCTTAGAATTGAAGGACAACCACGCAGGAATTTGTATGTCCTCTTCCTCAAGTAGCTGGACAAAAGCCTGGATAAGTGCCAAGAGTTGTTAATATTATAATAATTCAACAGTAGAGGTCCGAGACTTTTAGTATTCAGCAACACAGTCCACTTAACACTGATGTAACACCATTGTGGTCCGAGACTCTTTGGCAGTCCCAATAAATATATGACAACAGTTAGACAGCATATAATCATTTCACAAGCTACAACAGTAGTCTAAAAAATCTATTAAACATGCATAGTCCATATCACTGATACCTGAGCTTCAATCTTATTTGGCACAGTTTCAAAAGCCATTATATCAGCACCAGCATCTGCAAGAACCTGAACCCTTCTTCTGTGAAAATCTTTTAGAAACTCCAGATTCATTACATCTCCATAGTCCCCACTATAAGTAGAACAAAAGACTTAATACTTTATGTCACAAAAGCCCAAAAAAAAAGCATATTAATTCACTAAAGAGATGACTCATATGGCCTTGAGTGTAAGTGTTTAAGGTGACATAAAGTGTCAATCAGGAGAATGTTCACATATGTGATAGATGCTGGGAGGTGTGATCATTTGGGAAGTTTTATTTTATTAAAATTACATTATGTAGTTTAGATATTTAGGAACTACTAAATACAGTAGTTATTTAGAAATACTCTGGTAGTTATTTAACTTGTTATTCTTAGTCTTCGAATTAATTTAGAGGTAGTTTAATTATTTGGAAACTACCAAATATTTAATCATTCTTAGTTTAGGAATCTTTGTAATCAATCCTATTAAAGGGAGTGTTGCATTGAATTATGGACAAGCAGAAATTCAAACCCAAAAGGGGTCGAAGGGGGCAAATTATGCTGTGGAACTGTGTCCACCTCGGTTCCAAAACTGTTCATAATTATGAATATATAGTTCAAAAATTATGAACATATAGTTCTATAATTATGAACATAGAGTTGTGAATATAATTATGAACATATAGTTCTGTAATTATGAATATAGAGATTCAATAATTGTGAATATGAAGTTCAAAAATTATGAATATATAGCTTTATAATTATGAACATATAGTTCAGTAATTATGAACATAGAGTTCTGTAATTGTGAATATAGAGTTCAATAATTATGAATATGAAGTTCAAAAATTATGAATATATAGCTTTATAATTATGAACATATAGTTCAGTAATATATAGCTTTATAATTATGGACACGGTTCCACAGCATAACGATTGGTCTAAGGGAGTTCGGGTCTCAAGCAAACCCAACGTTTTCTTCTTTTCCTTTTCCAACTACTTTTTCTTTGTTCTTTAAAAAAATATATATATATTTTCTTGCCTATGACATGAACACATAACATATAGCTAGCAAGAACTACGACTCTGCAGTATTGACCCAAGAAATAACAATTAAAATAGGTGGTGGAAAATCATCATAAATAAGAGCAGAGGCCTAAAATATATCCAATTTGTTTGCATGAAAAAAGGCTGCTCAAATCTACCTACAAGTATATTAGTACTGATATATATATATATATATATATATATATATATATATATATATATATATATATATATATATAAACACATGATAGTCTGACCATGACATCAAAATATTTTCTGAACAGATGAAGAAGAAAATCAGAGACACTCAAGTAAAGTTCACCTGTATTCAGAACCATCAGCTAAATAAGCCCCATAACTCCCAACAGATGCTGCAACTAATATGGGCCGATGCTTAAGAACCTTTCCGTCAGTAGTATAATCAGAAGAAATTTTTTGGAGTTTTTCATAGTATAAACTCCGTGCTTCACATGCTATTTGAACACTTTTTCTAAGCAAGGCTTCACTCTCTTCCTGGGAAAAACCTTTGGCCTTGAACCCCTGAATGGTTCCCTGTCCAAATATGAGCAGATGGAAATTCAGCTCCAAGCACAAGTTGCACACATAGACATACATATAGGCATGCTCAAAAAGTCAACGAGGTGAAAGAACAGTTGTCAATACCTGATAGGATGCAGTGATTATTACACCTGCACCAGCTTCAAGGTAGTCCAGGTGTACCTGCTCTAAGTCAAACATTAAGTGATTAAAAAAACACAAAGAAAAAAAGACATTCATCTCTAGGACACAATCAAGATTTCATGTAGAACTCTCAGTGGAAGAAGGGAGAACTCACCAATTCTGATATCTTTAGATGAAAACACTTTAAAGCTATCTAATTTGTTCATTGACACAATTTTTCAGATTTTATGGACACACTCAAAGTATACACTATCTATTAACAAGTTACTAAAAGTGTCATCACTCAACAATCAATGCATTAAAATGACAGTTCCCCTCAAACTGCCCCATTCAGTCCTACCCCTAAAGAATGAAGCCATACTACAAAGTCTGCACCATACTTCAATACTCAAGTACAAAAGGATGAAATGCAATTTATAATGCCTATGCGTTTGTCTATACAAGAGAGATACTTCATTTTAAAAATTTACCACAAAATCTTAAGCCTTTAAACTTTAATGTAAATGAAGTAATTCATAAAAGCAATGGCAAACCCAAAATGCTCAATTACTGGATAACGCGTACATATCCTTATCAGAGATTTAACCTTATAAACCAAAGATGGTTTGTTTGAACCAAATATGAGCTTGAGGATCCGGGCCTCAAGGGGGTAGCTAAGTTGGTAGAAGCTGATGGAAATCTCTGGATCGAACCAATCCCCCACTCAACTTAAAAAGATAAGTAAAACCTCGCAAAACAAATTCCCCATTTTGGAAAAATAAAAACAAAGGAGAGAAAGACTATACCGCGCGGATGAGGTGTGGGGAATCGAGAAGGCATTTGGCACTCCAGAGAGGGTCATTGAGGTCCGCACCATGACGTTCCAGCTCCGTAGCGAGGCCGCCGTCGATCACGGCCACGCCGCCGGACTGCCGGAGGAAATCCGTCATGAGCGAGGACGAAGCCGTAGTTGTGCTGGTTGTATGGACGCCGACTGGCCCCATTTTCACGAAGTCCAAGGTAAGCAGCGGTGGCGCGGTGGGCAGTGCGATTCTCAGACGCAGTCTACCGACTAGCGTCGTGTTCTATATTAAGAAAAATTAGGGTAAATGACAAAAATGGAAAGAAATGAAAAGACAATGACAAAAATAGAAAAATTTTAAAATATGTATAATTTTGGAAAAATTTATTTGAGACATCTAAATGAGTTTGAAAAAAAATTAAATTTTTTTTTTTAAAAAACACGTCAAACGCAAGTGACAATTGCATTTATGGTATTGTACGAGATATGCAATTGTCACTTGCGTTTGAAGAAAGCAAGGGAGAGAATAATGCCACATTTTGTTGTTGAGAGGCTATAGAGATTGAAGAGACACCTATTAAGTAAATGAAAGGCCTCAAAGAAATTGCCCCTATCTATCTCATCTTCAACTCTCTTCCTCAATGCAGTGCCTCCAAACACTTGTTAGTCTCACTCTCAATATCACTACCATCTCGCCCAAGGCAGAGGAAGGACATAATTTTCGCAGCCCGAGCAAGAGTGCCGCAATGCTTGACAAATACGGCATCGGGCACGACGACGACGTTAGGTCCAGCCACATTTACCGAGGCATCCGCAAGCGGTGACGGAGACCTGGGGCGACGCGATTTCGGATAAGACTTGAAGGGATTATAGAGAACCCTGTCTCCAGCACGTCCTATTTGTGCATACTCACAGAGTAAGACGGGTGTCTGCTTCGATGCACTTAATAGTGACGGTGGCTCTTCAATCTCCATAGCCTCTCAAGAACAAAATGTTGCATTATTCTCTCCCTTGCTTCCTTCAAACGCAAGTGGCAATTGTACGAGAAACACAATTGCCACTTGCGTTTGGCATATTTTTAGATTTTTTTTTTCTTTCTCAAACTCATTTACAAGATGCATTTCTGACAAGAAATACATGTCCCAAATGAGTTATTTCTCAAAATTATACATTTTTAAAACCTTCATATTTTTGTCGGTTGCATTTTCATTTCTTCTCACTTCAGTAATTTGCCCCAACACCTGCTTAGTAGTATGTATATCCGAATTTGGATCCCACATTTAGTAAGAAAGCAAATAAAATTGGAGTTGATATGTCTTTACCGATCACCGCTTGGATTGGACTAGATATTTCTTAAACGTTGAACCCCTTATAAGTTGTAAATGTGGTTCAATTCGGTAACACTACACTAAATCCCAAACCCCCATATGTGAATTTTTATTGACCTATTCAATTAATGTACAGTTTCCTTATCAAGATCATTGGATACAGTGATACAGAGGTCTTTTGCAATGGATCTAAGAATTCTGCATATATCATCATGCAAATAAATTGGGAAATTAGATGAGAACACCCCCATACATAATGCAAATCGTTAAAAACAAATCTCACTCTGACATGAGAGAAAAAGAGGATTATCCACTCAAGCATAATCTATGGTTTACAATGATATTTGCATATCTTTTGAGTACACATCAATGAAATGTAAAAGTGTAAACCCAAATATGAACATTTGGGGTAACCCTAATCAAGATGGCTAAAGATACAAATTTGTAATCACAAGGTCATTTGTTCGAAGCCCAAACTTGTTGATTTGAGCCGGTCAATAAGGTTAATTGCATCCCCAGAAATGCTATCTGAATAATTTAAGGAATCCTTGAGATTAATGTTCTTTAGGTGTGACCAGGAGCATAAGCCCTCAACATGCTCAAATTAAATGATCTATTTTTCTTTGCATAACTACCACCAATATATGTAAAACTATTAAAAAGTTCCTAAATTACATTTGAGAATTATTTCCATGAACACACAAATATGAAGATAGAGTGGCACCTGATGATGAAACTGGAACAGGACGATAATGATGAAGAACCTCAGTAGCAGGAAGAAGCATACCTGGAGTTCAATGTGTCTTGGTTTAGTAATATATTTCTCCAGTAATTTAAACTAAATATGGAGTAATAAAAACAGTAGGAAAGTAATGGCAGGGTGAAATGAAATTGATAATGGAAATGAATCAAAGCTAACCCATCTCTGCCATTCCATTCAGTGAAGCAAAGCTTCCAGGCTATGTCTCTGGCTCTGCTTCTTCGCATATAACAAAAATGATGCAATTTCCATATCAAAAAAAACCAAAGCTTCATCTACATTCCTAAGTTTTTGGAGAACAATGATACAACGCAAATATCATATCTGTCAAACACCAGGCAACATGAGTACATCAGAGTTCTCTGCTCCATTTTTTCCCCACGAAAGGGTCGCACCCCCTCCCACATCGGTACCAGAAGAGGAATATATTTTCTTAATAAGTCCGTAGCCAGAAGTTACATTCGCTGGGTTTGGTAGCGTGAGCCTGTAACCCAAGTGGGAGCATTAAAATGGTGGGATGGGATGATTGGCCTTGCCTTTGAAGGTGGGCTTTTGGGGTGCTATTTACCGGCCTCTGCCCGTTCCAAGTGGTGAGTTGGGACGTGGAGTCTCTGTGTAGGCAGAGGCTTCTTTGGCCCTTAGACCGGAGGGTATTGCGTCAGGCTGGTTTCACAGAGCAGCAAACACCTCCTCTTCTCTGTAGTGGAAGGATAACAGGCCGGAGCTTCTTCAGTCCACTAAGCCTGATGGGTTGTCCAATTGAACCACCATCTTTTGTGTGTTGCCACACAGCCCAAAAAACCCGTATCTAGAGAGCTAAATGCTTCATCACGAAACAAGGAAATGGAGTCAAAAGGATAGGCTAGCCTACTTCAACTATATAGGTTTCATTGCTTAACTGTTCTACTTTGACCTCCAAACAGGGGGAAGTGCTTTCTCCTGTCTGGAAAAATATAAGTTTTACATTAAAATTCCAAGAATGGCTGCTTTTGAAGCATTAACAGGCCAAAGGAGAAAAGAAAGTGGTGTTTAAATTTAATGCAAAAGAATTTGAGATAAAGCTTTCACAAACAAATTATAGTACCCTCTCAATATCACATAAAAGCAAATATATAGAGTACCTCAACTAGGAATTTCCCATCATCCAAATAGGTTATGGAAACATTTAAACTTTTTGAGCCATTATAGTTATACTCATCATCGCCTTCAAGTTCCAGTCTCAACTCTAACTGCAACATAGCATGGAAGTGAAATTAGTAAAATCAACAATGAATAGATACTACTGTAGTCACAAGTGTATTCTCACAAGCAGTTATCTGACCACCCTAAATGAAATTGTATTTAAAATTCTTCTGTAAACAGTTGACTTCAATTGCACCACAACCATTCTAAAGAAATATGTTATAGTAGGATTGTGATTGTACAAATCAATAAATGGTTGCAATTTGATCAACTAGACGAGTTGTCTAATTCATATTCCTCTTATGATGATCAGTTCTTGGTCCAGTATTTGGCATTTAATAAGGTTAATTGCATCCCTAGAAATGCTATCTGAATAATTTAAGGAATCCTTGAGCATAAGCCATCAACGTGCTCAAATTAAATGATATGCTACTTGCGAGCATCTTAATGATCTATTTTTCTTTGCATAACTACTACCACCAATATATGTAAAACTATTAAAAAGTTCCTAAATTACATTTGAGAATTATTTTCATGAACACACAAATATGAAGAACGAGTGGCACCTGATGATGAAACTGGAACAGGACGATAATGATGAAGAGCCCCAGTAGCAGGAAGAAACCCTTTGGAGACATTTTCAGCATATTATTTGCAAAGAATGTTCACATCACAATTGACATTTCACATAAAAGTGTGAATCTCTCTCTTTATTATGATAAAAGAGTTCCATTTCCATCACTTCAAATAGTTAGAGAATGCACAACAAGAGTTGCTTAAACATAAGAAGCATACCTGGAGTTCAATGTGTGTTGGTTTAATATATTTCTCAAGCAAGATTGTGTTTATGCCAAAAGATGCAGCAGCCTCTCGTTGAGCCCCCAAGAATGAATCAACAATTCACTACGACTTTGAGCAATTCGAGGAAAAAGGAATCTCCAATTTAAGAAAATGTCAAAATTGTGTAAGAATTGATAATATAAAACAATAAAGAGATACTATTAGCCAAACATTTCATAGATTTTTTCATTTCTTAAACAAACAGGGGAAAAAAAACAAAGAAAAGCAGAACTAAACTAAATGCACACCTTCCCTCCACCTCCATTCCAAATAATGCTCACGCTTTTTCACCATTTTCCGACCACAACTAATCTATACATACCGCCGCTGCAACTTTAATTCATTTCTAAAACTTCAGCCCGCACAATTTAACTAAAAAAAAAAAAGTAGGAAAATAATGTCAGGGATAAATTAATCAAAGCTAACCCATCTCTGCTATTCTGTTCAGTGAAGAAAAGCTTCCAGGCTATGTCTCTGCTTCTTCACATATAAGCCCCTTCAACAAAAATGGTGCAATTTCCATATATATATAAAAAAAAACCAAGGCTTCATCTACATTCCTAAGTTTTTGGTGAAAAATGATACAACGCAAATCTCAATCTGTCAAACACCGGGCATAAACATAAGTACATCAGAGTTCTCTCTCCATTTTTTCCCCACGAAAGGCTCGCACCTCCTCCCACATCGGTACCACAAGAGGAATATTTCTTCTTAATAAGTCCGTAGCCAAAAGTTCTGTTTGCTGGGCTTGGTAGTGTGAGCCTGTAAACCAAGTGGGAGCATTAAGATGGTGGAACGATTGGATTTACCTTGAAAGCTGGGCTTGGGGTGCTAATTTACTGACCTGCCTGTTCCAAGTGGTGAGTTGGGTTGTGGAGTCTTTGCGAAGGCCGAGACTTCTCAGCCTTTAGACCGGAGGGTATTGCGTCAGGCTGGTTTCACAGAGCAGCGAACACCTCCTCCTCTCTGCAGTGGAAGGATAACAGGCCGGAGCTTCTTCAGTCCACTAGAGCCTGATGGGTCGCCCAATTGAACCACCATCTTTTTGTGTTGCCGCCGTAAGACCTCCAGGGGGATGAGATAATGCAGAGTCATTGGAAGGTTTGTGTTGCAGTTCATCATCATCAAACAGTTCAACACCTATACTTTGTTTGAAGTGATGATGGTATTCACCATGCCAAAAGTGGATGTGCTTAAAATGGTCCTACAAGATGATGAAGTAAAAGCTTTTATTGATTGAACCCAATTTAAGATCTTGCTGCTTTGCTTCTCCTCTTCAACAGTTAATAGATTTTCAACAAAAAACTACATTAAACATATATGCATACATATAATAAAGGAAACAGCAATCTATGATTAAATATATATATATATCAACCGCATTATGAAACAAGGAAATGGAGTCAAAAGGATAGGCTTTACCTTGGAATAAACGGCAAGGCTTACATTTAGTCTTACACCGCCTACTTCAACTATATAGTTTTCATTGCTTAACTGTTCTACTTTGACCTCCAAACAGGGGGAAGTGCTTTCTCCTGTCTGGAAAAATATAAGTTTTACATTAAAATTCCAAGAATAGCTGCTTTTGAAACATTAACAGGCCAAAGGAGAAAAGAATTTGAGATTAAGCTTTCAAAAACAAATTATAGTACCCTCTCTACATAGGCACATACTATAAAAGACCTCCACTAGAACTATCACGTAAAAGCAAATATATAGAGTACCTCAACTAGGAATTTCCCATCATCCAAATAGGTTATGGAAACATTTAAACTTTTTGAGCCATTATAGCTATACTCATCATCGCCGTCAAGTTCCATAGTTCGACTAGCCAAACGATGTACTCTAAAAGGAGGATCAACATACCACAAAAACAGACCTCCTGCTTGTAAAAAAGAATTTTTTAAAATCAAGGAATTTGTAGAAATTTTAAAAATAAATTACCATTAATCCCAAGCTTAAATTTACCAAGGGCACTATCCCCCATACTACAAGCTTGGCAATCATGGGATCATAATGGATGCTTACGGTGTCCCCTTCCTCAACTCTAACTGCAAAATAGCATGGAAGTGAAATTGTATTTAAAATTTTTCTGTAAACAGTTGACTTCAATTGCACTACAACCATCCTAAATAAATATGTTATTGTAGGATTGTGATTGTACAAATCAATAAATGGTTGCAATTTGATCAACTAGACGAGTTGTCTAATTCATATTCCTCTTATGATCAGTTCTTGGTCCAGTATTTGGCATTTAATAAGGTTAATTGCATCCCCAGAAATGCTATCTGAATAATTTAAGGAATCCTTGAGCATAAGCCATCAACGTGCTCAAATTAAATGATATGCTACTTGCAAGCATCTTAATGATCTACTTTTCTTTGCATAACTACCACCAACTAGGAATAATGTAAAACTATTAAAAAGTAGCTAAATTACATTTGAGAATTATTTTCATGAACACACAAATATGAAGAACGAGTGGCACCTGATGATGAAACTGGAACAGGACGATAATGATGAAGAACCCCAGTAGCAGGAAGAAACCCTTTGGATATTTCAATCATGTTATTTGCAAAGAATGTTCTCCTGAAGCACTGGCTTGGGTGTTAGGCCAGAAAAATACTAACAATAATAATAATAATAACATTGTGTAAGCAAATCATGCAAAGAAACAGTGTAGAAATTTTATGACCCTTTGCCTTAGCTGCAGATACAGCAGATTGACCCAAGTGGGTTCGGAACTCACTTTCAATATTTGGCTGCAAATACGGAAATAAAAGAAGTTTCAACTGTTAAGAAGGCAGAATATTAACTTAAAAAAGAAAACAAAAAAAAAAAAAAAAAAAGAAGAAGAGAGAAATGTGATTACAGCAGGAGCTTCTTCAATTATTTTTTGGTGCCTTCTTTGAACACTGGAGATGGATAACATTACCATGTTTGTCACCAAATATCTGCATAATGAACATGCTATTATATAATCACATTAAATTTTCACATCACATTTGACATTTCACATAAAAGTGTGAATCTCTCTCTTTATTCTGAGAAAAGAGTTCCATTTCCATCACTTCAAATAGTTAGAGAATGCACAACAAGAGTAATAAAAAAAAAAAAAAAAAAAAAAAAAAAAAAAAAAAAAGTAAACAGTGCTTAAGAACTTGAGAACATGAACAAGAAGAGGAAAAAGGAATCCTCTAATTTAAGAAAATGTCAAAATTGTGTAAGAATTGATAACATAAAACAATAAAGTGACACTATTAGCCAAACATTTCATAGATTTTTTTTCATTTTTCAAACAAACAGAATTTAGGGAAAAAAAAAAAAAAACAAAGAAATCCAGAACTAAACTAAATGCACACCTTCCCTCCACCTCCATTCCAAATAATGCTGACGCTCTTTCACCATTTTCCTACCACAATTTAAACTAAATAATAATAATAATAAAAAGTAGGAAAATAATGTGAGGGTGAAATGAAATTGATAATGGAAATGAATCAAAGCTAACCCATCTCTACCATTCCGTTCAGTGAAGCAAAGCTTCCAGGCTATGTCTCTGGCTCTGCTTCTTCACATATAAGCCCCTTCAACAAAAATGATGCAATTTCCATATCAAAAAAAAAAAAAAACCAAGGCTTCATCTACATTCCTAAGTTTTTGGTGAACAATGATACAACGCAAATCTCATATCTGTCAAACACCAGGCATAAACATAAGTACATCAGAGTTCTCTGTTCCATTTTTTTCCCCATGAAAGGCTAGCAAATCTTCCCACACCGAAACCAGATGAGGAATATTTCTTCTTAATAAGTCCGTAGCTAGAAGTTCCGTTCGCTGGGCTTGGTAACGCGAGCCTGTAACCCAAGTCAAGTGGGAGCATTAAGATGGTTGAATGATGATTGGATTTACCTTGAAAGCTGGGCTTGGGGTGCTATTTACCGGCCTGCCCTTTCCAAGTGGTGAGTTGGGTTGTGGAGTCTTTGCGAAGGCGTAGGCTTGTCGGCTCTTAGACCGGGAGGGTATTGCGTCAGGCTGGTTTCACAGAGCAGCGAACACCTCCTCCTCTCTGCAGTGGAAGGATAACAGGTCGGAGCTTCTTCAGTCCACTAGAGCCTGATGGGTTGCCCAATTGAACCACCATCTTTTTTAGTGTGTATTGCCGCCGGAGCTTCTTCAGACCACTAGAGCGTGATTGAATCACCATGTGTCTTGCCACACAGCCCAATAAACCCTTATTTACTATTTAGAGAGCTAAATGAGATTAGCAATAATTCAACGTTTCAAACATACAAAAAGGAACCTATACTGAAGTCTGAAGTTATTTTCACATTTTTTTTTTTTTTGCATTATAATTAGGTATGTTTCTCAGTTATTTTAAATCATTCAGTATTTTTTAATAATAATATATCTATATCTATAGTATTTTTTAATAATAATATATCTATATCTATATTATTAATAAAAACAATATTTTTTCATTTTAACTTATCACCCAAAACAGTCATCTACTATTAATGTTTGAAAAACATTAAAAATAGTGTAATACAAATTCTAATAGAATATATTGTTTCCTACATTCTTATTCCGTCACTACTCCAATCTATACTATTATTAAAAACAAAAGTCAAATAATAATAATAATAATATGATTAATACTAATAACAATCAATAAAAAAGTTAGCAATAAATAAAGAAAATAAAAATGATCCCTAATTCACTGAAAATAGAAAAGGAAACGAAATTTATTGATTAATACTAATAATAATCAGTAAAAAAGTTAGCAGTAAAAAAAGAAAATAAAAAAAGATCCCTAATCCACTAAAAATGGAAAAGGGAACGAATTCACTGATTATACTACTAATAATATTAGTAAAAATGTTAGCAGTAAAAATGAAAATAGAAAAAGGATCCCTCATTCACTGATTAATGGAAAAGGAAATGGAATTCACTGATTAATGGAAAAGGAAAATCCTACCAAAAATTAGTAATTAATAATAATAATAAGGATCTGAAATTAACTTAATAATAATAAGTTAGCAGTAAAAAATAATAATCTAAAATTTACTGATTAATACTAATAATAATCAGTAAAAAAGTTAGCAGTAAAAAAAGAAAATAAAAAAAGATCCCTAATCCACTAAAAATGGAAAAGGGAACGAATTCACTGAATATACTACTAATAATATTAGTAAAAATGTTAGCAGTAAAAATGAAAATAGAAAAAGGATCCCTAATTCACTGATTAATGGAAAAGGAAAATCCTACCAAAAATTAATAATTAATAATAATAATAAGGATCTGAAATTAACTTAATAATAATAATATAATTAATAATAATAATAAAAAAGTTAGCAGCAAAAAATAATAATCTGAAATTTACTGATTAATACTAATAATAATCAGTAAAAAAATTAGCAGTAAAAAAAGAAAATAAAAAAAGATCCCTAATCCACTAAAAATGGAAAAGGGAACGAATTCACTGATTATACTACTAATGGCCCGTTTGGTTCACGGAATAGGCCGGGAATGGCATAGCATTCCCAGTAATAGGCCTATTCCGTTGTTTGGTAACCATTTCTATTACCAGGAATAATATTCCTGGTAATAGCCTATTACCTCAAATAAGGTAATAGCTATTACTAGGGCCCCCCTGGTATTAGCCTATTACTGAACGCTCAGGAATAGATTTTAGAATCTATTTCCTTTTTTACCCCTTTCTTTAACTTAATTTTTTTTTATCATATATATAAATTTATCCTATTTCACCACCGTCGTCGCCGCCACCACCATCACTGCCGCCGCCGCCACCACCACCATCACCGTCGCCGCCACCACCACCACCATCACCGCCGCCGCCACCACCACCACCACCATCGTCGCCGCCGCCACCACCACCACCATCGCCACAACCGTCACCGCTCCCACCACCGCCGCCGCCCCCACCACTGCCACCGCCACCACCACCACCGCCACCATCACCACCACCGCCACCGCCACCGCCCCCACCGCCGCCGCCGCCCCAACCACTGCCACCGCCACCACCACCACTACCACCCCAGCACCACCACCACCACCGCCACCACCACCGTCACCATAGTCACCATCACATATTTTTATAAGGGTATTTATGTCTTTTAAAACATATTTCATTTCTATTCCTTAAATCAACCAAATACTGTAATATAATTCCTAAAGTCTATTCCTTCCACGAACCAAACAATAGAATACAAATCCTATTCTATTCCTTGCCTATTCCATTCCTTATGGAATATCATTCCTATTACCTCAAAATTCATTCCGTGAACCAAACGTGCTGTAATAATATTAGTAAAAATGTTAGCAGTAAAAATGAAAATAGAAAAAGGATCCCTAATTCACTGATTAATGGAAAAGGAAAATTCTACCAAATAATAATAATAATAATAATAATAATAATAATAATAATAATAATAATAATAATAATAATAAGAAGGATCTGAAATTAACTTAATAATAATAATAATAATAATAATAATAATAATAATAATAATAATAATAATAATAATAATTAAAAAAGTTAGCAGCAAAAAATAAAAATAAAAAAGAATTCCTAATTCATTGATTAATAGAAAAGGAAAATCCAACCAAAAATTACTAATTAATAGTAATCAGGATCTGAAATTAACGTAATAATAATAATAATAATAATAATAATAATAATAATAATAATATATTATTATTATTATTATTATTATTATTATTATTATTATTATTATTATTATTATTATTATTATTATTATTATTATTATTATTATTATCAGTAAAAAAGTTAACAGTAAAAAAGAAAAGTAAAAAAAAAATCCCTAATTCACCTATTAATAGAAAGCGAAACAGAATTCGATTAATAGAAAAGAAAAATCTTATCAAAAATTACTAATTTAATAATAATAAGGATATGAAATTAACTAAATAATAATAATAATAACAATAATAATAATAATAATAATAATAATAATAATAATAAGAAGAAGAAGGATCCAGAATTCAAGAAGTCATAATGTTCAAAAAAATTACTAATGAATGTAATAGATATGAATATAAGGAAGATTGTGCAAAGAAATGCGCAAAGAGTCGCTCGGTAATTCATAATTTTGAATAAAATACATGCTATTATTTGACTATTAAATTGCACTACAAATATTCTCAAAAGCAAAGAACAATTCTACCATTGAATATTTTCTATTCTTCTATGATACTTCTCCTATTTCTCCTTATTGTTTAGTACTGGAGTATGTTTTCGTCTCTGTCTCCGACCTATCCCTCAGGATGAGGAAAAACTCTATAAGGTTGCAGTTGATGTGTTGTTATTTGTCAAGAGAATATCAACGCTCTGCGGTCAACCAACAAACACTCGAATGCTTATTCCATGACTCCCATGTGAATTTCTCTCTAATATAGCTATACTTATAGAATATCAAAATATAAGTGTACCTCAAGATCTTGCAATAACTGATTTGCAAGTAATTAAATTAATGATACATAATGCAATGCAGATTATTTACAAATCTACATATTAATGATACACATGCAAGCTCAAAATATGCTTATATGCTTGAATGGTCTTAGCTCAAAGTTAACTATCCACTATCACACAATGCTTTATGTTGTATGTTAGACTCAAGGAAGTCAAGGTTAATAACTTCTCACAGTAAATACACTTGCTTTATATGTATGAAATATTGACCAAAAAAAAAAATATTTAGGCTTTAGATGGGAGTTTTACTTATATATACCTATGAATTTGAAACATTTTGAAATTTAGTGATCGATAAAATCAATATTGGCATGCTACAAACACTATCAGATAGAATCATTAAGTATAAAGTGATCATTGTTGTCTTGGATGACGACCAGGATGGCTAACTTCTACTTTGGGACAATGTTTGTTCGACACTGTTAGGAGTCGCTGCTAGCGAGTTGAAGGAAAAATACTACGAGGTGCGTGAATCCCTATATCTTAGCAATCAACTCTTTAATTTTCTTTTCCTTGTATTAATATTATTATATCCAGTGTATAATATTTATTGTCTGTTTTGGTTGACCTAGGATGGTTGCATGCCCAATGAAATTGAGGGATTGGATGGCATGCTTGATGAGTCGTAGCTAGAAGACCAAGCGATCCTCTCGCCGACTTTAAATGTCGTTGATCAAATTAATCAGTACATCTGTGACATGAATACTGCAGAAGGACGAACATATTTAAGTTGTGATTATTTGTGTAAAGCAAAATCAGACGGTGAAAATCTATCAGAAGTACACACTCCTGAATTCTTAAATAGGTTGAGATTTTCTGGTCATTCATTGACATTAAAGGTCGGTGCACTTGTTATGTTATTGAGGAAAATAGACTACTCTCTTGGTCTTTGTGACGGTACGCGGCTCATCCTCACAAAATTGGCATATCACATTGTCGAAGCAAGAATAGTTAATGGGACAAATGAAGGAACCAAAGTTCTTATGCACCGAATGTCTCTCACTCCTTCTGATACGAGATTGCTTTTCAAGTTCCAGCGTAAACAATTCTCATTGATGCTTGCATATATTCCATGACTATCAACAAAAGCTAAGGCTAAACACTAACTCACGTTGGTTATTGCTAAAATAATTTGGTCTTTATTCACGGTCAATTGTACGTGACTTTTTCCTGAAACACCCATTCTGATGGCCTGAAGGTATTAGCTCTAGACGAGGATAAACAAGATTGTGTTGCTACTACTAATACGAAACACAATCGCACGAGTAAAAATACTAGTTTAGAAAAACAAGTTTTACAAGCACATTTTTCTTACATTCATTTACCAAATCTAACTTTTTAGACTACATACAACATTATAAAATTATTCAAAAATTCAAATGATTTTTTAAAATTAAATATTCAGAATATTTATCATTATGATTCGTATGGGGACTACTCAATATTTTTAGGGAGTTTACTTCTTTATTTATTTTAATCTTTCAACTATAATGATATTTTCACTTAGTATCTGACTATTCATTGTTCTATGATGTCAAAGACCATGAGATAACATGGTGAAACTTGTATAAGAAAGAGGCCTACAATAGCGTTTATGGGAAATGAAACTCCATGAACCCTCTAGGAATTCAAGAAGAACATCCAGTTCCAAAAAGGAACACTCAGGGGAAGAAATGTCTCTATTATTAAAGAAGTTCAAGAAGTTCGTAAGGCACCACCAAGGAAAATTCGAGAAAAGCCCTAGGAAGCATCACTCTTCTGACGGCAAGCTAAGAAAGAATAAAGAGTTAGAAGAAGAAAAATTTGAAAAAAATTGTTACAACTGCATGAAACCTAGATACTTTAAGGCTAAATGTCCTTACACACTAGAAGAAAAGAATAGCCCTATAAGGAGTAATCATAAGAAAACAAATAGACATCATCAGATGAAAGAAGAGAAGTGATCCATAAGGAAAGCTCTAATCTGTTAGGGATCATCGAAAGAAAGTGAGAAGAGCAGTGATTCTTTCGAAAGTAACTCTTCTTCCGATTCGGAGCAAGAAGCATTGATCTATCTAATGGTCAACAAGGTGCAAGTTTCATACGACTCTTCCAATTCACCAGAAGAAGCAAAATCTTCTAGAGAATCTGAATGTGATATTAGTCGAACAAAGGAGTCAATTCAAGATGCTTAATAGCCAACAATAATGAAGAAGGGTAATCTTGATACTTGAATTGAAACTATAAATAAAATATGTCTAGGCAAGTGCAGTGATTGTTCAGAGTATAGAGAGTGGAATAACGAGTGTCGTATCCACACATACTACGAATACTAGCACTATATGTCATTCTATTATGTAGCCTAAAAGTTGTTCTTGAAGCATTAAGCTGTTTGAAAGACAAAAATTATGACTTTGTTTAGGTGGGAACTGATTGTCTGCAGATTATCCACTCCCTCAACAACAACTCTGGGACTCCTCTTTTAATCAAATTACCCATACCTTAGCAAGGGAGTCTCTTTCTTTGTCAGATTGCGCGAAGTGGTGTGCGCACCCTCCAAACTTTATCTTTAATGTTCTCCGTTTGGATTACTTGAATGATATGCTTTGTCTTTGTATTTCAAAAATATGTTAACGGCATGCACATAATATGCAGCTAACAAATTATGTGCCTATTGTTAACCTATTATATTTATAAATACATAATTTATTAATTGAAGGCACATATAATATTTTAACTGCATAATTTTTTTACCAGAATTAACAATGCAAGGTGTATCCAAATTTATGGTATAACAATTGGTTGATTTGAGCGTATACCCCAGTCCCCAATCCTGAGCCCTGGAAGATTCATTGATAACGAGCTTATAGCAACAAAATATGTAGCAATGTGAAGCCATGTCCAACAAGCTCTACTGCTGTGTCATGTCCAGACCACAGCAACTATAGCATATCCCTTCCCAGTTCCCATCATCAACACCACGTCACAGATCAAAGAATATTGAAAAAAAGGCTTTTATTGTGATTTTCTTTTATACATTTGAGGGGGATTTAGGAGATGGGATTTGAACCCCATATAAGTTGTAAATGTGGCTCAATTCGTTAACACAAAACTAAATCCCAAACCCCCATATGTGAATTTTTATTGACCTATTTAACTAATGTACAGTTTCCTTGTCAAGATCATTGCATAGAGTATACAGAGATCTTTTGCAATCTCTCCAGAGCTGCTTGTAGTTTCTGGTCCACTTCAAATTGTCTTCAATGTAAATGCCCGATGGATCTAAGAATTCTGCATATATCATCATGCAAATAAATTGGGAAATTAGATGAGAACACCCCCATACATAATGCAAATCCAAATCGTTAAAAACAAATCTCACTCTGACATGAGAGAAAAAGAGGATTATCCACTCAGGCATAATCTATGGTTTACAATGATATTTGCACTTGTATATATAGACTAAGCACCAAATATATTTCCCAAAATTTTGAACTAAACACCCTAAGCCCCAAAACAATGGTTATACATATCTTTTGAGTACACATCAATGAAATGTAAAAGTGTAAACCCAAATATGGACATTTGGGCTAAACCCCAATCAAGATGGCTAAAGATACAAACTGGTAACCACAAAGGTCACGAGTTCGAAACTTTGAATCCCAACCTTTTTTATTTGAGCTGATCAACTATAGACAACCTAGACTAGTTTACCTCCTTGTGGTCCTTTGCCGACTAGAATCACAAGCCATGGTTTACCCAGTGCACACCCTCGGGTAGTGGCTACAGGTTTCCCTTGTCACCCAAACAAAACATATGGACATCTGTGGGGAAGACAACTAACCTTGATACTGAAGAGAGCAACACCATCATAAATCTGCTGGCCCACTTCAACCTTAAGGCCACTAACATAGCCAGTATTTGGAGCTTTCACGACATGCTAATAAATGGGATAGACACAGAGAAGAGATACGGGTTCAAGTTTTTGAAGAAAAAGCTTTAATATGACATTAAAGTGAAGTTTGCAAGTACAGACCTCCATCTTCATTGCTTCTAATACCAATACTGGTTGGCCTTGCTCAACTTTTTCCCCATCCTTCACCAAAATTTTAACCACTAGACCCGCCATGGGGGCCACTACAGTTCCAGGAGGATGAGATGCAGACTCATTGGAAGGTTTGTGTTGCACTTCATCTTCATCAAACACTTCAACACCTATATTTTGTTTGAAGTGATGATGGTATTGACCATGCCAAAAGTGGATGTGCTTAAAATGGTCCTACAAGATGATGAAGTAAAAGCTTTTATTGATTGAACCCAATTTAAGATCTTGCTGCTGTGCTTCTCCTCTTGAGCAGTTAATAGATTTTCAACAAAAACTACATTAAACATGTACACATACATATAATAAAGGAAACAGCAATCTATGATTAAAAATAAATGGTTGCAATTTGATCAACTAGAAGAGTTGTCTAATTCATATTCCTCTTACGATCCAGTATTTGGCATATATTCAATAAGGTTAATTGCATCCCCAGAAATGCTATCTGAATAATTTAAGGAATCCTTGAGATTAATGTTCTTTAGGTGTGACCAGGAGCATAAGCCATCAACATGCTCAAATTAAATGATATGCTACTTTCAAGCATCTTAATGATCTATATTTCTTTGCATAACTACCACCAACTAGGAATTATGTAAAACTATTAAAAATTACCTAAACAATTACATTTGAGAATCATTTTCATGAACACACAAATATGAAGATAGAGTGGCACCTGATGATGAAACTGGAACAGGACAATAATGATGAAGAACCCCAGTAGCAGGAAGAAACCCTTTGGAGACATTTTCAGCCAACTATTATTTTCATATCAAATAAAACTGTTAGTGGCGATACTGTATCGACTCACCAGCTATGGAAAAGTAAACAGTGCTTAAGAACTTGAGAACATGAACAAGAAGAGGAAAAAGGAATCTCCAATTTAAGAAAATCTCCAAAATGATAACATAAAACAATAAAGAGACACTATTAGCCAAACATTTCATAGATTTTTTCATTTCTTAAACAAACAGAAATTAGGGGAAAAAAACAAAGAAAAGCAGAACTAAACTAAATGCACACCTTCCCTCCACCTCCATTCCAAATAATGCTCACGCTCTTTCACCATTTTCTGACAACAACTAATCTATACAAACCGCCGCTGCAACTTTAATTTATTTCTAAAACTTCAGCCCGCACAATTTAACTAAAAAAAAAAAAAAAGGAAAATAATGGCAGGGTGAAATTAATCAAAGCTAACCCATCTCTGCTATTCTGTTCAGTGAAGCAAAGCTTCCAGGCTATGTCTCTGCTTCTTCACATATAAGCCCCCCTTCAACAAAAATGATGCAATTTCCATATCAAAAAAAACCAAGGCTTCATCTACATTCCTAAGTTTTTGGTGAACAATGATACAACGCAAATCTCATATCTGTCAAACACCAGGCATAAACATAAGTACATCAGAGTTCTCTGCTCCATTTTTTTCCCCACAAAAGGCTCGCAAATATTCCCACACCGAAACCAGATGAGGAATATTTCTTCTTAATAAGTCCGTAGCTAGAAGTTCCATTCGCTGGGCTTGGTAACGCGAGCCTGTAACCCAAGTGGGAGCATTAAGATGGTGGGATGATTCGGTTTACCTTGAATGCTGGGCTTGGGGTGCTATTTACCGGCCTGCCCGTTCCAAGTGGTGAGTTGGGTTGTGGAGTCTTTGCGAAGGCGGAGGCTTCTCGGCCCTTAGACCGGAGGGTATTGCGTCAGGCTGGTTTCACAGAGCAGCGAACACCTCCTCCTCTCTGCAGTGGAAGGATAACAGGTCGGAGCTTCTTCAGTCCATTAGAGCCTGATGGGTTGCCCAATTGAACCACCATCTTTTTGTGTGTGTTGCCGCCGGAGCTTCTTCAGACCACTAGAGCTTGATGGGTTGTCCAAGAATCACCATCTTTTGTGTTGTTGCCACACAGCCCAATAAACCCGTATTTCCTATTTGGAGAGCTAAATGAGATTGGCAAATAATTCTTATACTGAAGTTATTTTCACAGTTTTTTTTTTTTTTTTTTTTTTTTTTTTGCATTATAATTAGGTATGTTTCTCACTTATTTGTAATCATTCATTCTGTATTTTTTTAATAATAATAATAATAATATATCTATATTATTAACAAAAACAAAATTTTTCATTTTAACTTCCCACCCAAAACAGTCCTATACTATTAAAGTTTGCGTAACATTATTATAAAATAGCGTAATACAAATCCTAATAGAATATATTGTTTCCTACATTCTTATTCCATCACTACTCCAATCTATACTATTATTAAAAACAAAAGTCTAATAATAATAATAATAACAATCAATAAAAAGGTTAGCAATAAAAAAAAATAAAAAATGATCCTTAATTCACTGAAAATGAAAAAGGAAACGTAATTCACTGATTAATAGTTTAATACTAATAATAATCAGTAAAAATGTTAGCAGTTAAAAAAAAAAAAAGAAAATAAAAAAAGATCCATAATCCACTGAAAATGGAAAAAGGAACGGAATTCACTGATTATACTATTAATTGTAATCAGTAAAAATGTTAGCAGTAAAAATGAAAATAGAAAAAGAATCCCTAATTCACTGATTAATGGAAAAGGAAATGGAATTCACTGATTAGTGAAAAAGGAAAATCCTACCAAAACTTAATAATAATAATAATAATAATAATAATAATAAGAAGGAGGAGGATATGAAATTAACTTAATAATAATAATGATAATAATTAATAATATGATTAATAATAATAATAATAATAATAATAATAATAATAATAATAATAATAAATAAAAAAGTTAGCACAAAAAATGAAAATAAAAAAGGATCCCTAATTCATTGATTAATGGAAAAGGAAACCAATTTCATTGATTAATGGAAAAGGAAAATCCAATCAAAAATTACTAATTAATAATAATGAGGATATGAAATTAACGTAGTAGTAGTAGACAGGCCTGGCTCATGAAAGTGTCGACGTTGGGCCGCCTCATCCGATTTGCCCATCTTCTCAGTGGGTGATTTCTCTGCTACTTTACTCTCGTGTCGGCGAGGGTCTTTGGTGGAGGACCGTTCGACCCGCGGTACCGACCTTTGCCGGATGCCCTCCGTCCCAACCGTTCCACGGCAGACCGGGAAGGGGCTGGTTTTCGTCTGACCGTTCCACTTCTTCGTCCTGGGTCCTGCTGTTGTTGGGTTTTCTCCCTCTGTTGGGATTCCACCTCTATTTCCTGAGACCGTGGCAGGGGCACCTGACCTTGCAATCTTGCCACTGCTTGAGCTATTGCTGTCGCTACTTGCTGAATGGCTTCGGTCATCGCCTGGGGGTACGGATGCCCCGGTTCCTCCATTATTGAGTTGGTCTCGAAGATCGCCTAAGGTGTTGCCATTGCGATTCAAGCTGCGGAAACCGTGTGAGCTGTTGGATCTTGAGTGAGCCATCTTTTCCAAATGCGTATTTGCTTGAGATTTGATCTTTTCTCTCACTGAAAGCACCAATGACGGTAAAATAGGGTACCAGAGTATATTTATATAAGTATTGTCAAGTATTTCAATACAAAATGTCTCCCTTTCCTCAGCCATGGACCCTCTATTTATACCAAGTCCACATGGTACGTAACAGCGGGGAGATGAGGAGCCTAGCAATTATTTCACTGTGTTAATGATCGTAGTAAATGGCCTGCAATAATTATCTTGTCTGTTGGAATTTCTGCCCGTTGGATTCCCCTCGAGTGTTTCCGGGTCAGGTGCTTGTTGGTGGTCCGGGTCGGGTGCATGACCCATTACTATGTCAGGTTGATTAATTAGAATCACTTCTAAATCAAAATCATTCTATGGATTACATTAACATTTTGTGAGTTCTATTGAACGATTTGACTCAAACATAGATGATTGATATCATCCTACCTCTAAGGTTTCAATCCACTCTTCCCAATTATGCGAGATGTACACTCACTAAAGATATCTCTATCACAAAGTTCATGCACCAATCAAGTATCCAATAAGCTAGCAATTATTGATTCCAAAATAATAAAGAAACACAATTAAATCAAATGAAAAACAATTATAAACTAGGAAGAAACAATAAAGAACAAGGTCTTAACCTAGGGTTTACCATAAATCCAAGTATTACAGTTAGCCTCTAAGCATGGAGACAAACACAAAAGGAATTAAAGAAACAATAAAAGAATTGAAGAGCATAGGAAAATCCCTTTAATCCATGAAGAAATCTTGATTCCAAGTCTTCCCAAGATGTATAGATGTCTTCCTCATAATGGTTGAAGCTCCTAAAAGTGCCTTGGAACGTTTCTCGAAGCATAGGGTTCAAAAGACATCAAAAAGATCTTAAAATGAGCTTAAATACCATGTTTTCGCAACTGACGTGGCCAGGGACACGATCATGTCAAGACGGTTTCCCTTACTACCCAGTAGAGCCTGTCTAGGTGACATAGCCCTAGCGGTTCCAAACTTTATCCTCATTTTTGGTCTTGTTCTACTCCTAATTTTTGAAACCATTAGACATGAAAGTTGCAAGGCATTCTCTTAGCTTTTCATAGACACTTGAATAACCTTAATTGTACTTCATATGAGGGAGACATGACTAAAACACTTTTGACGTGTCGTAGGGTGGTATCCTTGGAGCGCATAAGGTTCTTTTGATTTTCTGACATTAATGTGTCTTGAATCTCTTGACTTTCCATTGATACCTCAATCACCTCAATTGGACTTCATATGGCAGAGTTATGGCCAAAATACTCCCTACATGTCGCGAATTGTCCTGTTTTACCATTATTGCTTAGAAATACCTGAAGACCAAATGACAAAGAACTAAGTACCAAATTCAATCAATCTAAACAAGAAATAAATCAAATTGTTATAAAATAACTAATAGGAATAAGTGCATTTTAGCATTTATCAAACCTCTACATCTTCTTTTAAGTCTTTAAATAGTGCACTACCCAAGAGTCGTTATGACACATTTAAGTCCGGCTTGTTTTGCAGTTCCTTCCGATCTCTACCTTCACGACTATGCCATTTATCCTCCTTTCTTGGTTTTGAAGAAGAATAGTTACTCCCTTGATAGCTTTGGTGATGCTCGCTAGTTTCTCCTCCACTGAAGTTGTGTTCGTTGTCATATCGGGCATGACAATATAAATATGTGTCCATTCTGGCATGACCTTCCACATGGGAGACATTGGAGATGAAGGGGATGAGTCTCCACTGCTTATGTTTCCTTTATAAGAAGTTGGAGATGGTAATTTTTTAGAGATGTTTTCAGCATCTTCTAAATATCTTTCAAAATTGAAGAGGAAAAGGGTTCACAAAAAGGATGAAATTTTACAAGGTTGTTAACATTATGACAATTTTTATATTGACTACTATTGTTTTAGTATACACAATGCAAAAGTAAGGAACCTGAGGAGATTTTTCAAACTGAGCTGAGGGTAATGAGTCTTAACATCTCGAATGTCACCATCTGCAGAAATAGCTTGCTGAATGCTGATACTCTTCCACCATCGCAATTGTCTCTATGTAAACTGCCTACATTATTTATTTATTATTATTCATAAAAAAGTTCAAATAACATGATAAAAAATCGCTTGGAATTTTCAACCCTAACGAAGTAGAAGCTATGGTTGTTCGTGAAGTATTAAGCTGGTTGAAAGACAAAAATTATGACTTTGACTGTCTGCAGATTATCCTCTCTCTCAACAACTCTGGGGCTCCTCTTTTAATATGTTGATCCATGATATCAAGGAAATGCCAATGAATTTTAATCACATTTTCATTAGGTTTATTAAACGATATGCAAATCAGACGGCCCAAAGCTTAGCCCGTGAGTCTCTTTCATTGTCAGATTGTACGGGTGATGTGCCCACCCTCCAAACTCTATATGTAATGTTCTCCATTTGGATTTAGTTGAATGATATACTTTATTTGTTCTCCGTTTGGATTTAGTTAAATGATATGCTTTATCGTTGTGTTTCAAAAATATGTTAACACACACATAATATGCAACTAACAAATTATGTGTCTATTGTTAACCTATTATATTTATAGACACATTTATTAATTGAATGCATATATAATATAAATGTTTACAATTTACTTTTTAAAAATTCACAATTTATATATTAAGAACATACAATGTTAGTATATATGAAATAAATTACCTTGTTTTGTATTCACATGTTCCTTTCAAATACAACAGTCACACAATATTAACAGATTAAGATATTATAACCCTGTATTGTATTCACAAATCCCTTCAACAATTGTTATGTGTATAACAACTCAACTATAGCATATCCCTTTCCATCATCAAGATCACGTCACAGATCAAAGAATATTGAAAAAGGTTTTTATTCTGATTTTTGTATATATTACATTTGAGGGGATTCGGGAGATGGGATTTGAACCCCTTATAAGTTGAAAATGTGGCTCAATTCGTTAACACTACACTAAATCCCAAACCCCCATATGTGAATTTTTATTGACCTATTCAACTAATGTACAATTTCCTTGTCAAGATCATTGCATAAAGTGATACAGAGATCTTTTGCAATCTCTCCAGAGCTGCTTGTAGTTTCTAGTCCAGTTCAGATTGTCTTCAATGTAATTGCCGATTGATCTAAGAATCCTGCATATATCATCATGCAAATAAATGGAGAAATTAGATGAGAACCCCCATACATAGATGCAAATGGTTAAAAACAGATCTCACTCTGACATGAGAGAAAAAGAGGATTCACTCAAGCATAATAAGGTTTACAATGATATTTGCACTTGAATATATATAGACTAAGCAGCAAATATATTTCCCAAAATTCTGAAGTAAACTCCCTAAGCCCCAAAACAATGGTTATACATATCTTTTGATTGCACATCAATGAAATGTAAAAGTGTAAACCCAAATATGAACATTTGGGGGCAACCCCAATCAATATGGCTAAAAATACAAACTTGTAATCACAAGGTCACGAGTTTGAATCCCAGTCTACTTGATTTGAGCCGGTCAACTATGGGCAACCTAGATTGGTTTACCTCCTTGTGGTTCTTTGCCGGCTAAAGTCACAAGGCAGGGTTTACCCCGTGCACACCATCGAATAGTGGCTACGGGTTTCCCTCGTCACCAAAAAAATATATATATATATATATATATATATATATATATATATATATATATATATATATATATATATATGGACATCTGTGGGGAAGAAAACTAACCTTGATACTGAAGAGAGCAACACCATCGTAAATCTGCTGGCCCACTTCAACCTTAAGGCCACTAACATAGCCAGTATTTGGAGCTTTCACGACATGCTAATAAATGGGATGGACACAGAGAAGAGATAAGGGTTCAAGTTTTTGAAGAAAAGGCTTTAATATGATATTAAAGTGAAGTTTGCAAGTACAGACCTCCATCTTCATTGCTTCTAATACCAAAACTGGTTGGCCTTGCTGAACTTTTTCCCCATCCTTCACCAAAACTTTAACCACTAGACCAGCCATGGGGCCCACTACAGTTCCAGGAGGATGAGATGCAGACTCGTTGGAAGGTTTGTGTTGCAGTTCATCATCATCATCAAACAGTTCAACACCTATACTTTGTTTGAAGTGATGATGGTATTGACCATGCCAAATGTGGATGTGCTTAAAATGGTCCTACAAGATGATGAAGTAAAAGTTTTTATGGATTGAAGCCAATTTAAGATCTTGCTGCTATGCTTATCAACCGCATTATGAAAACAAGGAAATGGAGTCAAAAGGATAGGCTTTACCTTGGAATAAACGGCAAGGCTCACATTTAGTCTTACACCGCCTACTTCAACTATATAGTTTTCATTGCTTAACTGTTCTACTTTGACCTCCAAACAGGGGGAAGTGCTTTCTCCTGTCTGGAAAAATATAAGTTCTACATTAAAATTCCAAGAATAGCTGCTTTTGAAGCATTAACAGACCAAAGGAGAAAAGAAAGTGGTGTTTAAATTTAATGCAAAAAAATTTGAGATAAAGCTTTCACAAACAAATTATAGTACCCTCTCAATATCACATAAAAGCAAATATATAGAGTACCTCAACTAGGAATTTCCCATCATCCAAATAGGTTATGGAAACATTTAAACTTTTTGAGCCATTATAGTTATACTCATCATCGCCTTCAAGTTCCATAGTTCGACTAGCCAAACGATGTACTCTAAAAGGAGGATCAGCATACCACAAAAACAGACCTCCTGCTCGTAAAAAAGAATTTTTTAAAATCAAGAATTTGTAGAAATTTTAAAAATCAATTACCACTAATCCCAAGCTTAAATTTACCAGGGGCACTATCCCTTGATGCTGTGAGCTCCATTTTGCAAATGCAAGCAGCAGCAATAGATGCACCACGTCTCATGGCATTACATGCTTCTTGTGCAATTCCAGCACTGATGAATAAATCATCTCTATACTGCTCGATGAAATGAGTTTCCACTTCACCATTTTCAAAAGCACAATGGTGTGCAAGTTTAGACAGGAAATCTATGTTGGTTGGCAAACCAGCAACCTAGATGTGGAGTGCAGACAAAATTGCATGTCAGAATAAATGTTCAATGCAGGCATCACCAAACTTAAACATAAATCAGAGAATACCTGAAACTTTGACAAGCAGTCTTTCATTTTTATCAATGCTGCAGGGCGATTCTCTCCCCATACTACAAGCTTGGCAATCATGGGATCATAATGCATGCTTACAGTGTCCCCTTCCTCAACTCCAGTCTCAACTCTAACTGCAACATAGCATGGAAGTGAAATTAGTAAAATCAACAATGAATAGATACTACTGTAGTCACAAGTGTATTCTCACAAGCAGCTATCTGACCACCCTAAATGAAATTGTATTTAAAATTCTTCTGTAAACAGTTGACTTCGATTGCACCACAACCATTCCATATAAATATGTTATGGTAGGATTGTGATTGTACAAATCAATAAATGGTTGCAATTTGATCAACTAGAGGAGTTGTCTAATTCATATTCCTATTATTATCAGTTCTTGTGAGTATTTGGCATTCAATAAGGTTATTAAATGATATGCTACTTGCAAGCATCTTAATGATCTATTTTTCTTTGCATAACTACCACCAACTAGGAATTATGTAAAACTATTAAAAAGTATCTAACTTACATTTGAGAATTATTTTCATGAACACACAAATATGAAGATAGAGTGGCACCTGATGATGAAACTGGAACAGGACGATAATGATGAAGAACCCCAGTAGCAGGAAGAAACCCTTTGGAGACATTTTCAGCATATATCCGGGCTTCAAAAGCATGACCTGCCACAAGAAATAAAATCTTTGTATGTTTCAAGGTTTGGATATTTCAATCATGTTATTTGAAAAGAATGTTCTCCTGAAGCACTAGGCCAGAAAAATACTAATACTAATAATAATAATAATAATAACAACAACAACAACAACAACAATAATAATATAAATCATAATAATATTAATGAGAAAATATCCACATGAAGTTCATAGCTAGCATATATTAAAGAAGACAGAAGCAATACATTCAATTAAATCCCTAACCTGATAAAGGAACCTGTGATTGGCTCAAAGGAAGAGACTCCCCACTTGCAACACGTACTTGCCACTCCACAAGATCTTGACCAACAATCATCTCAGTAACAGGGTGTTCAACCTGCCAAAGAGTTATTATGTTCCTTATGACCCTATTTGTAGTAGATATTAGAGCGAAATGTGAAAGAGCGAAAGAGTAAACAGACACCTGAAGGCGGGTATTCATCTCCATAAAATAAAATTCTCCTGAAAGAGTATCAACAATAAATTCCACAGTACCAGCACTATGATAATTAACTGCCTTTAAGAATAAAGGAAGGTGTGTCAGGTTGAATAAAACAGACAAAAAGATTAATAAAATGTTCCAAAACACACACCAAATACAAAAATACTATAGCAGATATCTCAAAGGAGAAGGTCAATCTCAGAAGTTAGTCAAATCACCATTCATAGTGTGTAACTCAGTATGAAAAAAACACAGGCAAAGCACTTCTATATCACCTGAAGATAAGAACATATATTATATGCATGACAAAAGGATAATTATTTGTGTGGAGACATTGTGTAAGCAAATCATGCAAAGAAACAGTGTAGAAATTTTATGACCCTTTTACCTTAGCTGCAGATACAGCAGATTGACCCAAGTGGGTCCGGAACTCACTATCAATATTTGGCTGCAAATATGGAAATAAAAGAAGTTTCAACCGTCAAGAAGGCAGAATATTAACATAAATAAGATTAAAAAATAAATAAATAAGAGAAATGTGATTACAGCAGGAGCTTCTTCAATTATTTTTTGGTGCCTTCTTTGAACACTGCAATCTCTCTCATGGAGATGGATAACATTACCATGTTTGTCACCAAATATCTGCATAATGAACATGCTATTATATACACCAAATATTTGCATAATGAACATGCTATTATATAATCACATTTGACATTTCACATAAAAGTGTGAATCTCTCTCTATTCTGAGAAAAGAGTTCCATTTCCATCACTTAAAATAGTTAGAGAATGCAGAACAAGAGTTGCTTAAACATAAGAAGCATACCTGGACTTCAATGTGCCTTGGTTTAGTAATATATTTCTCAAGCAAGATTGTGTTTATGCCAAAAGATGCAGCAGCCTCTCGTTGAGCCCCCAAGAATGAATCAACAAATTCACTAGGACTTTGAACAATTCTCATGCCCTGGAATTGGACAAACAAGTGCAAATATAACTTTCAGAGGCCACACATGAATGGACATGCATATATGATAAAAGACAAGGATCTGTATTTTAAACCAGGCTTTGGAGCTCCCTTCAGCCAACTATTATTTTCTTATCAAATACAACTGTTAGTGGCGATACTGTATTGACTCACCAGCTATGGAAAAGTAAACAGTGCTTAAGAACTTGAGAACATGAACAAGAAGAGGAAAAAGGAATCTCCAATTTAAGAAAATGTAAAAATTGTGTAAGAATTGATAATATAAAACAATAAAGAGACGCTATTAGCCAAACATTTCATAGATTTTTTCACTTTTTAAACAAACAGAAATTAGGGGGGGGGGTGAACAAAGAAAACCAGAAGTAAACTAAATGCACACCTTCCCTCCACCTCCATGAGTCGGCTTGATTAAAATAGGATAGCCAATTTTCTCTGCTTCTGACCTCATTAAGTCAACATCTTGTTCTTCACCGTGATATCCAGGTACAAGTGGCACCCCTGCTGCACCCATTATTCTCTTTGAAGCACTGATAGAAAAGCCCATAAGAACAAATAAATAAATAAATAAGAGAGAGAGAGAGGAAATGAGTGTTGAATTTGGAAGATGGAATGGCCTGGCGGGTGGAGAATAATACCACCCGCCAGTTAGGCGGAAGCAATATGAAGAAACAAGACTAAGAAATGAATATAAAACTTAAATTATATTAGTATATTCTCTCTGTTTCTAATACAGAAACACAGTACATATATATACACAAATACATAACTGTAAGTAACTACCCATAACTGACACCTATTCATAAACAGACACAACCCTATAGATAAACCTAACTCTTTAGTTTTCAACAATGAGCAGAAAACAACCCACATGACAAAGCATTCAAACAGTTTAGTGAAGTAAAGGGATCTTATAGCACCCAATGTGCAAAACTGCTAAATTATCATTTCATACAAAATCCTCTTCTTCTTTTTTTTTTTCCTGAAGAGATTTCATACAAAATCTTTGTTAAAAGCTAGAAAGGGTTCTTATATTCATCTAACTTCAAGTTACAAGTCTATATATAGGTCTACAAGAGTAAACAATAATAAATAAAGAAACTACTCATCTCCCCAAGGCTTTAATTACTAAGGCTAGTGAGCTGCCCAAGACTTTTCATATTCCAACACTCCCCCTCAAGCTGGAGCGTATAAATCAAAAGCTCCCAGCTTGCTACAAATGTATTCAATCCTAGGTCCACGGAGAGATTTGGTGAAAACATCAGCAAGTTGATCAATGTCTCCGGATGCGACCTTCTCTCATATAAAGTGGCAATCAACCTCAATATGTTTAGTCCTTTCATGGTAGACAGGATTAGACGCAATGTGGAGCGCTGCTTGATTATCACAAATTAACTTCATAGGACCATGCTTATAGAAATTGAGTTCTGTAAGAAGTTGTTTAACCCAAATTAACTCACATATTTCAAGTGCCATTGCTCGGTATTCAGCTTCTGCGCTTGAGCGTGCAACCACATCTTGTTTCTTACTTTTCCAAGAGACAAGATTACCTCCAAATAGAATACAATATCCTGATGTTGATCTCCTATCCCAAGGACATCCAGCCCAATCTGCATCTGTATAACCAACAATTTCTGTATGTCCATGATCTTTAATAGAGCAACCCTGTACCTGGAGACCTTTTCACATATCTCAATATTCTGACGGCTGCATCCCAATGACTTTGACATGGCTCTTGCAAAAATTGGCTAACTACACTTATAGCAAATGAGATGTCTGGTCGAGTGATAGTCAAGTACAATAGCTTGCCAACTAATCTCCGATACTTACTTGGATTGGATAGGAGCTCCCCCTGTCTTGGAAGAATGTAGTGCTTTCATTTCATCAACCATTGCTTGAGTCCACCTTGGATGAGTTAATGCCTCCTTGACATTGTTTGGAACAAAAGCAGTTGACAAACTAGCAATGAAGGCACAATATGATGGAGACAGTCGTTTTTGTGAAAGGAAATTATAGATAGGGTAAGGATTTCGAGTGGATCTTTTACCTACTCGACTGGCAATGGGAGAGTCTGTCGTGGTGTTTTGGGCAGCATCATTGGGTAACAATGATGTAGAACATGACTCAACTGGATGTCTATCCTCTTGGGAATCTTGACGATTGCGTCGTTGGTAGGTGTACAACAATGGTGGAATATGTCCTTCCTCTTGAATGGTTGGAGTTGGTATAGTTCTTTCAGGAATAGGTATGGTCCTTTCAAGAACAGTGGGAGATACAGGTTCTGAGAAAGTAGGAACAGGGAGAATTTTTGTGATTTCAATGGGTTCCCCTAGGAAGTTAGACTCAACGGAGGTGGAAGAGAAAAAAAGGTGTTGTTTCAAAAAAGGTAACATCGGAAGAGGTATAAAATCGGTGTGTTCTAGGACAGTAACTCTTAAAGCCTTTTTGGAAGCGAGAATACCCAAGGAAAACACATTTTATTGCCTAGGAATCAAGTTTATCACGCCCTGGAGAAGTATTATGAACAAAGCAAGTACACCCAAAGATTCGCAATGGAAGCTTATGAAGAGGTTCCTGTGGACGTAAGATATGAAGAGGAATTTTTCCTTGCAAAACAGAGGAAGACATCCGATTTATGAGATAGCAAGAGTGAAGTATAGCATGCCCCCAAAAATTCTTAGGTACCTTGTTATGAATAAGCAAAGTACGACCTGTTTCAACAAGATGACGAATTTTTCGTTCAGCAACTCCATTCTGTTGAGGAGTTCTAGCACATGACGATTCATGAAGTATTCCATTTGAGGAAAAGAAAGAAGTGAAAGGGTCAGAAAAATATTCTCTTGCATTATCACTGCGTAAGATTTTGAGAGATGCCCCAAATTGATTCACAATTTCATTGTAGAATTTTTGAAACACATCAAATAATTCAAAACGGTTCTTCATTAGAAAAACCCAAGTACATCGAGAGAAATCATCAATGAAGACAACAAAATATGAGAAACCCAAAGTGGATGAAACTCGACACGGTCCCCAAACATCAGAGTGAACTAAAGAAAATGGGGTATTAGCCCTCTTATTCACTCTACTAGGATATGAAGCTCTTGAGTGCTTCCCAAGCTGACATGATTCACAGTCTATGGTTTTCAAGTTCGACAATCTAGGAACCAGTTGTTTTAATTTATTGACGTCAGGATGTCCTAAACGACAATGGTTAAGAAGGGGTGAAATAGAAGCCGAGCAAGCTGTTTTGGTATTGGCGGAACATGAAAGATGGTATAGACCTCGTGATTCATATCCTACACCAATTGTCCCTTTTGTTTGACAGTTCTGAATAACCACCGAATCAGAAGAAAAGGTGACAAGACAATTAAGTGAGTGAGTAAGTTGATTAACTGAAATCAAATTGAAATGGCAACCAGGAATGTAAAGAACATTGGATAAAGACAAAGAATGAATGGTGACTTTTCTAACTCCTATAACTTTTGCTTTTGATCCATCACCAAATGTGACATCGGGAAGAGAGTCTGAGAACTCATTATTAGAGAAAAATGAGATATTACCAGAAATGTGATCAGTGGCTCCAGAATCAAGAATCCAAGATGAATTAGATTTTAATGCAAGAGCAGTATGAGACAAGTTGGTCCTCGCAACTTTCAGCATGCTGTTTAAACTTTCATGTTTTGCCATAGCTTTCAGAAAAATATGAGAAAATCACCATATAATCACAGACAACGGACGAACTGATTTGGAAAATTTTGTCGCAAAAGGGATGATGAACAGTCACCACTGTTTATCGGCTGTAGGTGTTTGAGAGAAATTTCAGGCCCCAAAAAAGAGGCTCCGGTACCATGTTAAAAGCTAGAAAGGGTTCTTATATTCATCTAACTTCAAGTTACAAGTCTATATATAGGTCTACAAGAGTAAACAATAATAAATAAAGAAACTACTCATCTCCCCAAGGCTTTAATTACTAAGGCTAGTGAGCTGCCCATTTAATTACTAAGGCTAGTGAGCTGCCCAAGACTTTTAATATTCCAACAATCTTAAACAGTCAGATTGAGGTGTTTACATCACTTATCTCTAAGATGAAGTAGTCAATTGAGACACTAGAGGCAGTCTCTAAGAAGTAAGAATCGGATAGCACAAGACTATAATAATTTTTATTTCAATTCCTTTCTTCAGCTAAATCCACCAGAAATCAAAAGAACAGTCTTTTAATGCTCCTTGTTGCTCCTGTGTCTTTCTAAATCTTCTAGCAAGCATTAGAACCACATAGATGTTATAATGTGTATGAGAGGTCAAAAGGTTACATATTAAAAAGAGCATGGAATGACAAAAATCACTTATAAATTAGCATTCTTTACCTTTTGTCGCCCATATCACGGATTGCAGATGCAGGAGGTCCAATAAAGATCAAACCTCCATCTTCACAGAGTTGAGCAAAATCAGCACTTTCCGATAAGAAACCATAACCTGGGTGGATAGCCTGAATATCAAAAAATCCAATCTGAATGTCTGGCGTTGTACTGGGAAAATATTAAGCACCAGTTATGCAAATTAGTATATGCCAAATAAACATTTACCCAACCCAAAACGAACATTTGATATGACAAGTAGGCAGCAACACAAGTACACAACAAAGTAATTCTATGATCAAAATACTGCCACAATTAGAAAAAGTTTGTTTACAACCTGTGCTCCAGTCCGAGCTGCGGCTTCCACAATTGTTGGAGCGTTCAAGTAGCTCAGACGCGCCGGCGGAGGACCAATACGAACTGCCTCGTCGGCCGATTTTACGTGCAGACTGTACCTATCGGCGTCGCTGTAGACGGCGACAGTACGAATCCCTAGCCTTTTGGCGGTTCTAATGATTCTACAAGCTATTTCGCCTCTATTAGCTATAAGTATTTTTTCAATCTTTTGAGTAGCATTGTGGTCCTTCGTCGCCGGCGGCGCAGTAGAAAATAGTGATCGCCGGCAAAGAACGTGCGGTTTCCGGTGGATTTCCCGCCGGAGTATAGAAGAAATGGTAGGCATTTAGAAGAAGCAAAGGTGCACTAATTGGAGTCTGAGGAAAATCTCATCCGGGTCAGGCTTTGGGAAAGGAATCAAATATAATAGGATGAGGAAGTAGAAATTATGACTCTATGTAATAAAACTCTCAAATATATTCTTAAATATTTTGGATAAATGTAATTAAATTATTAAATTTTAAAAGAAAATATTTAAGAGATATTTGGCAAATTAAGATAACAGAAAATAAAGTAGTAAATAATGTTCAACATCTTGTGATCGAGCAACACTATTTTTTAACTTTAGATTAAAGTAGGGAGTTTGTACATAGCAAATCTATTTTGCATTTTTTAAATAATTTAGTGAAAAATGATACTTTTTGCGCCTAAGTTATAAATATGTGTTGATTTTGTCTTTATTTATTGATCACGCTCACTTCTTATCTTTAAACTATAATTAAAATTATAAATTTTGTCATTTTTTCTAACTGGTCATGCTAATTTTTCGTCGTCAAAATATAACTTAAGTTGTAAATTTAATCTCTAACGTGGTCCATGTTCCTTCATCAGAGCCTCTTGATTCTATTCAGACATGTTAACGTTGTACCGCGGCATTTCTTGTTCCATCATCCGAACATCCCCTCCCTCATCCAATGATATAGTTTCATTCAACCCATCCCAATGTATCTCAAGCACAAACTTAATACCATTGGCGATTATGATTATTCGATCCTATCCATCTTCGTATTCTTGACACTTGGTTTCAAGAGATCTTCGTCCTCTCTTGAGGGAGATTTGTAAGAAAAGAGGGTTTTACGATCAATAAGAGTATATACCTATAAAAGTTAACATATAAGTATTACGATTAAACAATATGAATATTTAAAAAGAATATTGTATTACGTACTATATGGCAAATTATGCCCTGGAAACGTGTTCACCGTGAACGGTGAACACAAGGCCAAATGACGTCGTTTTTAAGCAAAAAATAAAAAATAAAAAATTTCGCGGATGTGAAGTTAACGGCGCGCGTTGATCAAATTATGAATTTTCTGTTATGAGATTATGAACATAAAATTCATAATCTCATAACAGAAAATTCATAATCGCATAACAGAAAATTCATAATCGCATAACAGAAAATTCATAATCGCATAACTGAAAATTCATAATCTCATAACAGAAAATTCATAATCTCATGGTTCCAAAGTGAATGTGTAGGCATGGTTCCAAAGTGAATGTGCAGGCATGGATTCATAACTTATGAATGTCCGTGATTTCGGACGGGAATGCGTAGGCATGGTTCCAAAGTGAATGTGCAGCCATGAATTCATAATTTATGAATGTCCGAAATCATTGTTCACCTCAAATTAAAGTGAAACCGCAAAATGTGAAAATGAAAAGTCACGCAATTAATTAAGAAAAAAAAAAAGATAACGGTGTACTAACACCGTTGGAACCATGTTCACCATGAATGGTGAACACGGTTCCATGGCATAACGCTCCGCACTATATATTTTGATTGACATTAATTTTATGACTTAATGACACCAAGTTGCTCTCCCATATAGGAAGGTGTGAGTTGGTAATGAAAAAAAAAAAAATATATATATATATATATATATATATATATATATATATATATATATTATCCATTATTATTTTATCATTTTTAACAAGGATAAGTTGGGCCACGTTATAGTTGCCTTGCTGGTAATCACGTGACAATGTTATCCAATCTTGTTTTAGATATATGTTTCGGTAATTACGTGGCAATGCTATCTACTTTTGATTTTTATAAATGTTAATTTAATGCGTGACAATTATACAATATATCTTCAAGTGACATACTATTAAATTATGAACTTCTAAACTAAAAACAAAAATTATGTGTGGTATTGACTTTTTGTGCTTCAATAGGTTGAGAAAATAGATATGAAGAGATACTACATTGTAACATAATTAGTAGTACTAAAAAAAAACTAAAAAGAAAAAGAAAAAATATTTCTTCTTGGTGTAAGGTCAATTTCTAAGTTATTAAATGTGTAAAATTAGCTTTTTAATTTTCACAGAACTAGCAATTTTATAGAAAAATTAGTTTGGTTGGCGCGATGGACGTGCACTCTCGTTTGGTGATAGCAATATATCTCGAGTGTTCAACTATATTGTTATAATTCATTTTATCCTAAGAGATTAACACTGCAATGCTCCTAGCACCTCAGAAGACAGTAAATTAATTTTAAAGAAAATGTATACTACACAAGACTTTGATGTTACATTCTTCTTCCCATTCTCCATATACCTTTGTTGTTCACGGGATTATTTTCTTATTTTAAATCCCAGTTGCCATACATATTTTATTTTCCTGAAAATTAATTTTTGGACTTATTTACGCACAAAGTGACAAAGTCTACTATAATTGATCATCGACTTGTTTGCTATCTCAATGGAACAGTCACCATTCCTAATCAATTCCTCAATCCAACTAAAGCAAACCCAAATCATTGCTATAACACTTGCACCAAGACCAAACTAGTTTGAGTGCCCCTCTCAATAGTTGTTCAGATGTTATCCAACTAATTATCTTGTCATTTATGTCTCATATGTTACTAAAAAATGACAAATGTTGAGTATAGTGGAGCGATATTTATGTGATGTTTCACCAGATTACATAGACACTGTTGTACAAGATTACAGAGACATTTTGGAGGGATATTGTTGCAAAAGTTAATATTAGTGATAACGTAGTTAACATGTTGATGAAGATAGTGACTCTTTGACAAGTTCAATCATTGTTTGAACTTGTTGGGTGCTTCTAGTTGCAAGATGAGCATGGCTACTCGATACATAGGTGTGCTAGAGACTTCAAGATTATTTTCTAAGGGACATATTCACGAATTAAGATATTTGTTGTGTATGTCTTATATGTTACTTGAAGATGACATGCGTGGGAGTGAAGTGAAATGTAGTGACTACACTTGTCTCTGTTGATTAAACATGAATTGAGTTTGCTGAGTGGGTGTGAGGGCAGCCCCTATAATGTGATATAGGGGTAATTTTGTAAAGGTGTCATTATGATTATATAGTCTATAAATATATGTAAGGAATAATTGTTTATAGATTTTGATGATGTTAATTATTTGTGTTAGCTAGAGATTGTTGACCCTCTAATTTTATTTTATTCTTGAAAACGACCCCTCTAAATTTCTTTCTTGTAAGTTGCAAACATTGAAGTGGAGCCAGAATATTGAAGTACTTCAAAAGAAGTCTCCAAAAGAAGGCAAAATGAGCTTAAAGCTATTTTAGCACAAGTTGAGTCCATTTTTAAATACTGCGTGTGCCAATTTCTTTGGTTTGGTCGTGCTTTTCGTACTATATTTTTTAAATTTAATACATATCACATATAATTTTAAAAAAATTAATATAATAAATTAATAATTTTAAAACAATACATATCACTTTTATATAAAAAAAAATTAAAATTAATACTTTTAAAATAATATATATCACATGATACATATAAAAATAAAAAATATATAATTTTAAAATAATATATCACTTTTATACAAAAAAGTTTAAAAAGCTATAATTAAAAACTAATCACACTATCATTCATGTTTCACTAATCACATGAGTGGAATGAATACCTTTTGTTACCGAAGGAGATTGCTATCAACTATTAAAGCATGTGTCATCATTGAACCACTAAATTATACTATCATTCAGTTTTCCTGCTTGTCACGCCATTCTTAACTGTGATGAATATGCTTGATCATTTATTTATTCATAGATCAAAATTGAAAATATCATTTATCTATGATGTAATGAAGTCGATCTTAACAAAGTATTTGATAAGTATGACAATGCTAAATGCGCACTCACATTGTGTACTGTATGCACACATTATTATTGAAAATAATTTTCAACAATTCTCATAGTTTGTTGATCATATACTCGGAGTCTCGGACAATTCATCGTACAATCATAAAATATTTTTAAAATTACCGTCTTTTCTTTTTACCTTTTCCATTTATGTACACACATTGCTAACACAATATATATTTTTTTTAACTCATCCATTATTATTCTTAATTTCATTTATTACAAAATATTTTTTAAACCTTTTAATAATAATAATAATAATAATAATAATAATAATAATAATAATAATAATAATAATAATAATAATGTGTGTTTTGTTTTTATATCATTATTATTATTATTATTATTATTATTATTTTAATAATTAAATTAGTGTATATAAAAACCTCATGCCATTTTTTTTTTTGTTATTTTTCTATTCTTTTTGTACCTCATTTCTCCTTTATGGTAAGAATTAAAATATAATAATATTTGCTTGATTTTCTTTGTTTCATTCAACCATTATAAAAGGTGAAAGATATAATTTTTGAATTGTTACCTTAATTAAAAGAATACAAATGTTGTACTAAAATTATATCATAAGAATATATTGTCTTCTTTTTGCTTAAATCAAATAGTATTTGATGTAGCACAAATTTTAATTTTCTATTCCAAGACTATTTGTTTCAATTAGAATGCACATTTTAATTACAAGTTTAACTATGTTTAGGACAATTTTTCTCTACTATAAGAGTTTAAATGCAAAATTTTCATTATCTAATAAGATTTATAGAAAAAAATAGTATTTGAAAATATCAATATATGTTTGCAAAATGAATAATCTACCTATAATGACAATTGAAATTTCAAACATATACATAAGTAAAACTTATGAATTTGTATGTATAATGTTATTGCATAACTCTTTAATTACTCTTTAACATATCAGTAAGCATATTATAATCATGTCACTTTTAACAAAAAAAAATGTTAAATATTGTTGACTTACCAGTTATCAATGGTCATAAAAATCGCATTAAAAAGACTTAATTTATTTTAATATGAAAATTGCTAGAATATGATTTTTATTTTCGATCATAACTATCTAAAGCAATACTCATCTTTTTTGATCGATTAGAGGTCAATCACCTCAGTCCCTTTTAACCGGGATTCTTCTCAATATTGGGACACTAAGGCAATCTTCCAAGATAGTTCTTCTAATTAAA